CCCCATTACTGTAATATTTCATTAGCATCAAAGAGCTGCCTCGGTCCCCAAAGTCAGGAAATTCAAAACTACTGGGCTGTGTCAGAAACGATTTACTGCTCTTAAATCTCAAGAAAAGAATTAACTCCCTTCTCTCCCTGCCTGCACACAACACAATGTGCTGGATAAACACCAGTTTGATGCACTTTGGCCTGACACAATCTCCTTGTGAGTGACTTTGAAGATTCCTTTCAYATTGTGTTTCAAAATTCAATATCATCAAATGATTAGATCGAGGGAAGGCATTACAAGCCTGGCTTAAAAATCYCATTTTTATTCAAGTCAGCTGGCTCAGATAACCATCACTGGGTWCTAATTGTTAATTTTCAATCCTTCAGCATCAAAGGCATTCATAAATCTATTTTTTCCCTGTGTTTTAACACTGAGAGAACTGAATTCCATCTCCTGTGCTCCTTGACAAATCCCACATTTTCCCATTTTTCTGGCTAAACCCAGAGCAGATTATATTTTTATTTTAAGGTTGATGGGAATTCACAGAGTTAAATTGAAAACTCCAAGGGGGTTAACCCAGAGCCACCAGAGCTCCTCCCCAGGACCAAAACAAATCCCTGGAATGCAGGAATTTGGGTTTTAATCCTGAAATTAAAATTTCAGAAGGGCCAGATCAGCCCTTCCCTCCCTGGACACTCCAGATTTGTCAGATCCTGCTGAAAACAGCTGAAAATTGGGCTCAGAAATTCCTCTGAAATCCCAAAGGATTCTTTGCTACCTGTGATTGATGAAAATCACTGAGAACAGGCACAGGGGCAGCATTTGGAGAAAAGGCTTAAGGGACTGGGCTTTAAAAGAAAAAAAATGAAAATAATTTGGGGGAAAGTTTAAGAAATTGGGCTTTAAAACAAAAAATTAAAACAATTTGGGGGAAGGCTTAAGAAATTGGGCTTTAAAAGAAAATGAAAATAACTTGGGGGAAGGCTTAAGAAACTGGGTATTAAAAGAAAAAATTAAAATAATTTGGGGGAAAGCTTAAGAAATTGGGCTTTAAAAGAGAAAAATTAAAACAATTTGGGGGAAGGATTAAGTAATTGGGCTTTAAAATAAAATGAAAATAATTTGGGGGAAGGCTTAAGAAATTGGGCATTAAAAGAAAAAATTAAAACAATTTGGGGGAAAGCTTAAGAAACTGGGCTTTAAAAGAAAAAAATTAAAACAATTTGGGGGAAGGCTTAAGCAACTGGGCTTTAAAAGAAAAAAAAATGAAAACAATTTGAGGAAAGTCTTAAGAAACTGGGCTTTAAAAGAAAAAAACAAAAATAATTTGGGGAAAAGCTTAAGAAATTGAGCATTAAAAGAAAAAATTAAAACAATTTGGGGGAAGGTTTAAGAAATTGGGCATTAAAAGAAAAAATGAAAAGCTTAAGAAATTGGGCATTAAAAGAAAAAATGAAAATAATTTGGGGGAAGGTTTAAGAGACTGGGCTTTAAAAGAAAAAATGAAAATAATTTGGGGGAAAGCTTAAGAGACTGGGCTTTAAAAGAAAAAAACAAAAATAATTTGGGGGAAAGCTTAAAAGACTGGGCTTTAAAAGAAAAAAATGAAAATAATTTGGGGAAAAGCTTAAGAAACTGGACTTGAAAAGAGAAAAATTAAAACAATTAAACGAGACTGATGTCAGTGAAATTAATCCTAAATCAAACTTCAACATAAACAGAAAATTCTCATTTGTTAAAAACCCAGGGCCACGCAATTAAGGCTGAGCAAACGAACCCAAACAAACTCCTAAAAAGGCAGCAGGAATAAACAAGGTGAGGGTTATTAAACAAAYCTGGCCTGTCCAGGACATTTGGAAATCCCAGAATTTTTCCCCTCTCTGTGCCACCAGAGCCTCACCCAGCTCAGGCTGATCCTCAGGATGAACCCCAGTGCTCCTGGATGGCTTTTTGGGGTTTTCCAAAAGCAGAATTTTGTTTTTTATATTTTTTTTTCTGTGTGTTTTAGCAAAAGCAGAATTGCTGCCTCAGGAATGGTGGGGAGATTGGAAGAACTTCTGGTGAAGGATCCAGGGAATGGTTGGAGCTGAGCCAGGGCAGGTCTGGGATGGAGATCAGGGAAAGTTTCATCCCCCAGGGAATGGGAACAGCCCTGAGGCTGCTCCAGGGGTGCTCAGGGTGGGATTTTGGGTGTCTGTGCAGCACCAGGAGCTGGGCTGGATGATCCCTGTGGGTCCCTTCCAACTCAGGGTATTTTGTAATTCCATGACATTTTCACAACCAGTTAAAAGTTCCTTCCAAACTTCCTTTTTTTTTTCTACCAAATTTCTTTTACAGTTTCTACAGTAAAAAAACCTTTTTTTTTCAAAAGTGCTTCAGAGTTAAAATCTTGTGGGTTTGCTTAAAATAGTCCAAGGCCAATGTCAGGCAGCAGAGTGCCACCGAGGCTGGGTTTCATTTTAACTCAGCAGCTCCTTCATTCCCCTCTCAGTGCCAGGGAATGAGGAGGTGACCCCAGAAAAACTCCTGGCACAGCTCACGGGCCACTGCCACCCCCAGCGGGCAGCACAGCCCATTCCAGCTGTGCAGGGGATTCCAGATGTGCAGGGGATCCCAGGAATGCTGGGAATTCCAGCTGCGCAGAGGATCCCAGCAGATCCCAGCTGTGAGAGGATTCCAGCTGTGAGAGAATTCCAGCTGTGCACGGGATCCCAGGTATGCAGAGAATTCCAGCTGTGCACAGGATTCCAGCTGTGAGAAAATTCCAGCTGTGAGAGGATCCCAGGAATGCTGGGGATTCCAGCTATGAGAGGATCCCAGCTATGAGAGGATTCCAGCTGTGCACAGAATTCCAGCTGTGAGAGTATCTTAGCTCTGCAGGGAATTGCAGCTGTGCACAGGATCCCAGGAATGCTGCGGATTCCAGCTGTGAGAGGATCCGAGCTATGAGAGAATTCCAGCTGGGCACAGAATCCCAGGTATGCTGAGGATTCCAGCTGTGCAGAGAATTCCAGCTGTGAGAGGATCCCAGGAATGCTGGAGATTCCAGATGTGCAGGGAATTCCAGCTGTGCACAGAATCCCAGAAATGCTGGGGATCCCAGCTGTGAGAAAATTCCAGCTGTGAGAGGATTCCAGCTGTGCACAGGATCCCAGGAATGCAGAGAATCCGAGCTGTGCACAGGATCCCAGCTGTGAGAGGATCCCAGCTCTGCAGGGAATTCCAGCTGTGCACAGGATCCCAACAGATCCCAGCTGTGAGAGGATTCCAGCTGTGAGAGAATTACAGCTGTGAGAGGATCCCAGGAATGCTGGGGATTCCAGCTCTAAGAGGATCCGAGCTATGAGAGAATTCCAGCTGTGCACAGGATCCCAGCTGGGAAAGAATTCCAGCTGTGCACAGGATCCCAGCAGATCCCAGCTGTGAGAGGATTCCAGCTGTGCACAGGATCCCAGGAATGCAGAGAATCCTAGCTGTGCACAGAATCCCAGCTGTGAGAGAATTCCAGCTGTGCACAGAATCCCAGCTGTGCACAGAATTCCAGCTGTGACAGGATCCCAGCTGTGACAGGATCCCAGCTGTGAGAGGATCCCAGCTGTGCACAGAATCCCATCTGTGCACAGGATTCCAGCTGTGCACAGGATTCCAGCTGTGAGAGGATCCCATCTATGCACAGAATTCCAGCTGTGCTGGGTATTTTTAAGGGATGTGGGGAGCTCCAGGCAGCAGCACTTACATCAATGAGGTCGGACAGGTCGTGGATGTAATATTTGAACACCGAGGCGTTGGTGGCTTCCAGGGCCAGCAAATATTCATTTCTTGCTTTAATTGCCTTCAGCCTGTTTTCTGTGTACTTTGCCTGGCGCTGGAACACAAAAAAAAAAGCAGAATAAAACATTAAATATGAGATAAACACNACCAGTTAAAAGTTCCTTCCAAACTTCCTTTTTTTTCTACCAAATTTCTTTTACAGTTTCTACAGTAAAAAAACCTTTTTTTTTCAAAAGTGCTTCAGAGTTAAAATCTTGTGGGTTTGCTTAAAATAGTCCAAGGCCAATGTCAGGCAGCAGAGTGCCACCGAGGCTGGGTTTCATTTTAACTCAGCAGCTCCTTCATTCCCCTCTCAGTGCCAGGGAACAGAGAAGGTGACCCCAGAAAAGCTCCTGGCACAGCTCACGGGCCACTGCCACCCCCAGCGGGCAGCACGGCCCATTCCAGATGTGCAGGGGATCCCAGGAATGCTGGGGATTCCAGCTGTGCACAGGAACCCAGCAGATCCCAGCTATGAGAGAATTCCAGCTGTGAGAGAATTCCAGCTGTGCACGGGATCCCAGCTGTGAGAAAATTCCAGCTGTGAGAGGATCCGAGCTATGAGAGAATTCCAGCTGTGCACAGGATCCCAGCAGATCCCAGCTGTGAGAGAATTCCAGCTGTGCACAGGATCCCAGCAGATCCCAGCTGTGAGAGGATTCCAGTTGTGCACAGGATCCCAGCAGATCCCAGCTGTGAGAGGATTCCAGTTGTGCACAGGATCCCAGCTGTGTACAGGATCCCAGCTCTGCAGGGAATTCCAGCTCTGCAGGGAATTCCAGCTGTGCACAGGATTCAAGCTGTGCACAGAATTCCAACTGTGCACAGGATTCCAGCTGTGCATACGATCCCAGCAGATCCCAGCTGTGCACAGAATCCCATCTATGCACAGAATCCCAGCTGTGCACAGAATTCCAGCTGTGAGAGGATTCCAGCTGTGCACAGAATCCCAGTTGTGCACAGGATTCCAGCTGTTAGAGGATCCAGGCTGTGCACAGAATTCCAGCTGTGCACAGAATTCCAGCTGTGCACAGGATCCCATCTATGCACAGGATCCCATCTATGCACAGAATCCCAGCTGTGCACAGGATCCCAGCAGATCCCACCTGTGAGAGGATTTCAGTTGTGCACAGGATTCCATCTATGCACAGAATTCCATCTATGCACAGAATTCCAGCTGTGCACAGAATTCCAGCTGTGCACAGAATCCCAGCAGATCCCAGCTCTGCAGGGAATTCCAGCTGTGCACAGAATCCCAGCTGTGCACAGGATCCCATCTATGCACAGAATTCCAGCTGTGCACAGAATTCCAGCTGTGCACCGAATCCCAGCTGTGAGAGGATCCCATCTATGCAGAGAATCCCAGCTGTGCACAGGATCCCATCTATGCACAGAATCCCAGCTGTGCACAGAATTCCAGCTGTGCACAGGATCCCATCTATGCACAGAATCCCAGCTGTGCACAGAATCCCAGCTGTGCACAGAATTCCAGCTGTGCACAGAATTCCAGCTGTGCTGGATATTTTTATGGGATGTGGGGAGCTCCAGGC